ATCGTTCTGTATCTCAGCAGCGTATAGCGAAGTTTAAAATAACGATTGAAAATAAAAGGGCCTTGTTCACGACCCGAAAGTGCTCTGCTCGAGTGTAATACACCCTAAGGTTTAAGTAAAGTGTGTGCTTTACTTTCATAAACTACTACAGTGGCATCTGTATTCTGCATTTCTGGAGAATGCAGCAGACCTATCTATCTCACATAGACACTTGTTTTGTAGTATAGTCATATTCTTATGTAGCAGCAACCCTCTTTATATTTTTATTTTTTACTACTGTTAAGAAAGCACAAGGAAAGAAAAGAAAATCATACGACACTCCGTCTTTTGCAAATAACCTGTCAAATATTGTGACCAGGCAGTATACGATGGTTAAGCGGATATGATCATATTTTGGCTTACAGTTAGGGTAAAAATGACTGTCACTGCAGGTTTTGATTTCAAATTATTATCTAAGGTACTGGCCTCCTCAGTGGAATCAAGGTTGGTTGATCTAAACCCATTTAAGTGCTATTTCAAAACGTCGCAAACCACATCTTTAATACTTCTTTTGTTGCATTTTGAAGATCTCTCTTGGTACTTATACTTAAACAGTCATTGAAGAATTTAAGCTTTTAATTAAAGATGAATGCTGTGGTGTAAGGAAACTAAAACGTTATCAATTGTGACATTTGTTGGGGAGTGGATAAAAAGTACATTATGGACTGACTTACTAGGTTTAGGCATCCTATATAGGTCATGGTGTTTCAAAAAAGTACTATTTCTCAGCCTTATTTTGCTGAAGAAAATTAGATAATCTACATAATAAGGTCATTTTTTATCACTGGGGGCACAGACAAGGTAGGCACAGATTTGATGATGAACCCTTAAATTTCCTTATTATTATTAATTTTTTTTAAATTTTCTTTTTTAAAGCAGGGGGATTTCACAAAAATTAAAAAATGTCCTTCTGTAGTATAAAAATTAAGGTTCTTGTGGAAATAAGTCTTTTTCCTTCCAGATGTTTAAAGGTCAGTTTAGAACTAAATTTAAAACACTTTATAGCTGCACCAAAGTTCAACCATCAGAATGGTGTCTACTCCCCCTACCCTCCCCTTCCCCTTTTGATTCTTTGTTATTCAGCTGATGGTGTACCACACTAGGTTGCAAAATTCGAACGAAATCAGTACAAAAAGAGATGTGCGGACATCAATTCATTTCAAATGCCCCGCGCTTGTGGGGCTTGTGTACGCGGCGACCGCAGCGCACCACTAGCCAGCGCGGCGACTGCTGGAAGTAGACATGGCCCTCAGACCTCGACATACGGCTGGCCGAGAACCCTCTCCTCTACTAGTGCTCGTTTGACATAGGGCAGGTGCAATGCCGGACAAGCGACGATCATCTGGGGATCAAAACAGCGCGAACATTCGAATGAGGCCATGTCGCATTGAGTTGTCCCCGGTTGATATTGAATTATTGTCGACATTCTCCGCTTAGTGTGTGTTTGAAATTCGTTCCTTACTATAATTTCTATTTACTACGTTAATATATTTGACAAAATTTGTGCATGCGTGCGACAAAAGACAATTTTCGTTGTATGTGCCTGATCTCCCCGTTTGAGCTGCCGCCATATTGCCGGCGCACCCGCCGTAGCAAGAGTTCGCGTTGAGGTTAGAGACTTTCATAATATCTAGCCTCAAAGCTGAAGTCGAGTGGCAAGGATATTTCCTCGTTACTCTACTTGAACGTGAATGATAAATTGATAATCAAAATTACAAATTTCAGTACAAATCAGCCGTTTTAAGTAGCGGAATTCAAGCTTCCCGCACATTGATCCCCAGATGGAAGAGAACGTTATGGGTCTCATCACAGCTAGTGACTCGCAAAACGGCATTGCACCTGCCCTATGCAAGACTCGTGTTCCGTGCGTTTCCGTGTTCGGCGATGCAAACTAATATGCTGAATCAGAAATATCAGGTAATAATTAGCACAGGGTTACTGAATCTGAAAGTTAACTGAAGTAACAATACAAAATAATAACATGGAATGATGTTGCATCGTTTGTAAAACTTGCATATTGGGGGTGTGAGGTCCCCATTTGGAACTTGCTACAGGAATTTTGGAAGTTCTTGATTCATTAAACGGTCATTGATCTTATTAAATCTAGCTGTATATATGTTTTTGCATGTGTAAGTCAGTGAACATTACTTGTCGTTTACCACTCACAAATGTTGTTCTGTTTCTAACCAGATCTTTTTCTTTCACTTTGCGAACAATGCTTAATTTTTCTAGAGTGGGCTGTGTAGTTTCAAATATGCCAAACAGGAAGGACTGCAATTTAAACGCGAATTACTTGCGTCAATATGCACGGCGTGCTGCTCAGTTAGAAATTGCACATTTTCTCCATCAACCTGAGCCCTTTGAAAATGCCGTTGAAGCTGCTCCCATAGATGCCCATGTTGTGGAAGAAGTTGCTATTTTTGAAGAAGTTCCTATTCTTGATGAAGTTCCTGGTTTGATTCCTGGCCTGATTGTGGAAGACTTCCCTCTTGTGGACGATGCCCCTGTTGCAGAAGTTCCTGTTGTGGAAGTCCGTGGAGTCGCTGATGAAGCTGCTGACAATTATGGTGAAGATGAAGAGTTTGTGGAAGATGGTGATGGTGATGACGATGATGATGACGATGATGATGATGATGACGATGAGGAAGAGGAAGAAGATATCCTGACAACACACCTGCGGGACTGGGCAATAAATTTCAAAGTCAGCCATTCTGCACTAGATGCTTTAATTATGATTTTGCATCCCCATCATCCTCAAATTCCAACTTATGCTAAGAAGCTTTTAGACACTCCTGCTTCAACGCCTGTGAAAAATTTAAGAAATGGTCAGTATACCCACATTGGTCTTGAGAGAGGTCTCCGTCAGAGGTCTCAGATGGGTATAACAGGTAATGTGGACACTCTGATGCTGGACATATTTGTAGATGCATTTAAAACATTCAACACTGTGCACACCAAATGCACTCCAATTTTGTTTCGCTGTCCACAATTTGTTGACAGAAGACCATATGTTGTTGGAATCTTTTATGGCGCTGGTGACCCAGATTTAATTGATGACTTTTTTCTAGATTACAAAAACGAGGTGCGGCATTTGCAAGTTGCAGGAATTGAGCTACATCACATTCATTATTCAGTAGTTATCAAGCGCTACATGGCGGATGCTCCGGGCCGTGCATACATCAAGTGCACTGTTGGGTTTAGCTCAAGGCATGGCTGTGAACGCTGCACTCAAGTCGGTGAAAATCATTTGTATCAGACTACTGTCGCAGTGCCTCGTACTGATGAGTCATTCAATAGAAGGCGTGATGCAGTTCATCATAAAAGAGAAAGTCCTCTTGCTGACCTTGGCACTGGCTTTATCTCAATGATACCTCTTGATCCAATGCACCTTGTGGATATGGGAGTTTTTAAAAGGTTTATGAATGCTGTCATGTTCAAAGGCCCTCTTAATGCACGCATGACAGACGAACAAATTTCTACCCTGAAAAATCTCCTAGAAATGTGTTCTGATCATATTCCTGTTGAGTTTACCCGGCATCCCAAGTTAGATCGATTCAAGTTCTGGAGGGCTGCTGAACTCAGAATGGTCATGCTCTATCTAGGCCATGTACTTTTTGCATTCTGCATGAAAGATGAAGTTTTTAAATTGTTCCTTTTACTGCGCCATGCCATCATCATTATGCATTGTGAAAGACTAATCCCAGTACTTCTGAATACTGCCAAGCAGCTCATTGAAACCTTTGTACAGTACAGTTCTCAAGTACTGTCACCAAATTTTGTTGTTTACAATGTTCACTCTCTATTACATTTATATGAAGATGTAGAGAGACATGGAAGGTTGGCTTCGTTTTCTTCCTATGCCTTTGAGGACATGTTGGGTCAGCTGAGACGACTTGTTCGGTCTCCTTGCAGGCCCTTGCAGCAGCTTCACCGCCGTTTAATGGAAAGGGAAAGAGCCAATGAACAGGTGCACGGCAGGAGACAGTTCGGTTATCTGGGAGAGCACAGAAATGGACCATTGCCTGCAAATGTTCCTGTGGTGCGTCAGTTTAGCAAATGCACAAATGATTTGTATGCTATCCATATAACATTACCCAACAATTGTGTTCTATTGAATGATGGACAATATGGACTTGTTCAAAACATTTGCCAAACTGTGGATGGCAGATATGTTCTTCTTATGAAAATATTTCGCAGAACAGATGATGTATATAACTATCCAAGACCATCACAAGAGGTGGGATCTTGTGTTGTCGCATCTCTTGCAGAAGACATCACCTGCCATGAAATAGAAGAAATTAGTGCCAAGTGCTTTCTTATTCCTATGAATGACAACTGCTGGGCAGCCTCTCCTCTTGTCCATTTGCTGTAATTCCATCAGTGAGTTTTTGTATGCAGTTTATTTTGTGCATAAGCTCCCCTCTCTTTGCAAGGCTACCAGGAAAGCTGTCTCTTGGGATGATCTTCGATAATCTGTGATCTGTTCTAGGTTTCGGTTTTGTAATTAATTATCAAAGGGTGTTCAATAGACCAAGGTTAATGAAAAAGAGTGCAATAATTAATTCTCCCATACTTGTGTGCTGTACATCTACATTTGTGCTTGTCATTTATTTTGTTCATTTTGACTTTTTGTTAACCATCTTGTTTTGTTCTATTTGCAGTTTATTCATCATGTTGAGGGGACACATGCTGCCTCAGCAAAGAAGGACACATTAAAAAGGACCTCTCCTTTGCCACCAACACCTGTTTTGAACAATGCAGGACCACCTCTGTGAGCAATTTATCCCACATACTATAGCAACAATTGGGTTACATTTTTTCACAAAATATCTGTATGTCTGTACCTTAATTCCTTTTCCAGGAAACTAGTGCGTGTGCTGTCCAAGACTGGTGCTGGACATTCAACTGGCAAGTAAGAGCAACACTTTCAACAGCTGCATCGGATGCATTTTCATTTTGAAATTAATGTTGTTGAATCCTTTCTAGAAAAGTATACAACTTCATGTCACAACCGGGGCCGGGTGCTGGTAGTACAGTTGTACCTGCACAGTAAGGCATATAGTATAGTGTATTGTGCTTACAATTATTGATAGCCCATGACATCTCAATTCAAATTATTAATTCGTTTGTTATTTATTATTTGCAGAACTTCTGTCAGAGTTCTACCCACACAAGGTGGTTTAAAACTGCCTCTGTCTGCCCCCGTCCTTGTGAACAAGAAGCCTGTTGCTGCTGGCGTCCAAAGGGAAGTGCAGGATCCTACTCCAAATGTCTCTCCAGCAAATACCTCTGTGGCCAGTAGTGACAAGTCCACAGTAGGGGTAGTGACTCCACCCAGTGTACAACAGTAAGAAAATCAGTTAGCCACAGCAAAGAAGCAGTTCATAGTTTTTGTCTCGTATTGATTGACACACTTTATTCTTTTGTATTAGGATTTCAAAGCCACGGCATGTCTTTGCTGTTTTGCAAGACGTTCCTTCCATTAAGGACAGAGTGCCAGACAACTCTCACTCTCCAACATCCTCTCCAATCTCCTCTCCAACCAGGGATGAAGTAAATGGTGACAGGGAGTCTGCGAGTTTAGAGGAGGAACTGGAGGCTGCCAGACTTCGTATGGAAGCCAGGAAAAGCACCAGTGAGTATTTTTTTTGTTTTGCTCTATCACCTCGTTCCACTTATGAATTTGTTTCATATGTCCCTTAGCTCCATCTGCTGCTCCATCTGCTACTGCAACCGCAATATCTAGTGCGGATACTGAGAATGTCTCAGTCCTATCTACATCCACCGGTTCCTTGGGTTAGTAGTAAATTATGAAAATTTACTTTGAATTTTGTAAGTTATGTGCCACAATTGATGTTTAAATTGCTGGGCATAACTGAATTTTCTTTTGCTGTACTAAATGGTGAGTGGTTTACCCTGTTTCTCCTCGTTTGTTTAGATCTCCTTGGTGTGCTGCAGGGAATTCGAGCAGAACAGATAAGAGCCAGGAGGCACATGCAGTCTTTGGATGCTCAAATGACCCGCCTCTATGATGTCTGCACCCAGTCTAAAGGGGTTGAAAAGCCACCGGGGTGGCCTGTCCTGCCTCTTCAATCCAAGGCAGAGTTTTACGAATGGGAGGTCTTTTTGGCCAATCAGTCCAATTTTGACTTTGCGGCAAGTCTCTTATCTCTGCAAAATTGTTTTACTACAGTCAAGTGGGCAATAACTTCTGAATTGGGCATACAAATTATAATGTCTTTTTGAAAACCGTGTTTCTTTGTTTAGGTGAGTCATCTCAGCGTTGTTGCTGGCAAGGGGGCAGATGAGGGGGAGATGGCCGCCAACATCTGTAAACTGATGTTTAGTCCTGAACTGTGTTCCACCCTAAATTGGAAGGGGACGGACCGCAAGACTGGCATACGAACCCTGCGTTGCGGGAAATGTATAATGGGTGAGTATATCAATTCTGATCTACAACCCTTTCCTGTTGTGTGACAAATTATTCTGCTTGCTTGAAATATCTGTCTTGTGAAACAAATCTGAGTATAATATTCGGATAGTAGATAAATCTACAAACACTGACTATATACTACAGACAATTTCAAGCAGAACATTTGGTTTTTGTTGAGGAATAGGTTTACTTTAATTGTGGAAGATTGAAGTTTGCTTTTGTAAATCTTATGTGTATCATTGTTTTGTACCATCAGATGCAGTGTCCCGCCAATACCTGGGCACCCAGAAGCCTTCAATAATCTCCGGTGCAATCAGCAGGCTGCTTCGCAGTAAGTCCAAGCCAAAGCAATAATTTCTTTTGATCTGTTTTGTTGTTCCCTTGTGAAGCTTTTTTTGGTATTCATTTGCATTGTGCCATGTGCGTTTCTGTCGTTTCTTTTTCTGGTGTGTTATTCTTGAGCATGTTCTTTGGCTGTTTCACTTTACAGTGATGTTAATTTTGTTCATATTTTTTTATTGTAAATGATACGGCTTTATGGCTTTTGCTTTGGCATGCTGTTAATT